GGCCAGCAGTCAGATCTTGCTGCCGGCAGAATAATTTCAAACAGCACCAACAACTTTTAACAGTGTCACCAACAGTTCCGAAACAACTAGAACAGTGGTTCTCAACCTTTTTAATGCCGTGACCCCCAACCGGTCATAAGTCGAGGATTACCCAACCGGTCGTAATTCGAGGACTACCCAACCGGTCATAAGTCGAGGATTTTCCCTGCCTGGGAGCACCGCACATGCATGGTGCTGCCCCCTGCACCGGCTGAGGCGTAGCTGGCAAGCGGCAGAGAGACGGCGCAGGCCGACCACCGGCTGGGCCACCAGCTGGCCCAGCCCAAGGGAGGTAAGGCACCCACCGGGCCCCACGCATGCCAACAACCCTCCCTGTGCCTGCCGGCCTCCCATCTCCCACCCCTGGCCCTCTTTTACTTACATTTTTAGTAGTTGCTCAGCAGGGAGGGGTGGAAACTTCCAGACAGCTCGCCTTCGCTGCAGACAACTTGTAGCACCGTTTGCAGAATGGGAATTTTGGCAGGCTCAGCAGGGCAGAGACAGCCTGGACAATTCCTATTGGCTTTTGAAAGCCAATAGAATTAGACTCTATTCAAGAGAGTCTATTCTATTGGCTTTCAAAAGCCAATAGAATAAAAGGAATAGCACAGCTAAGGAAAAGGGGAAAAAAATGGCGGACTGCGTTGTTTGGCGACCCCCGTGAAATGGTCGTTCGACCCCAAATGGGGTCCCGACCCACAGGTTGAGAACCGCTGAACTAGAAACTCACCATGCCAGCAAAGATTGTCAGTCGTATATTGTATGTTACCTTAGTTCCACCACATTGCTCAAACACGTTAAAACCTTCCTGTTCATGTGGCCTATATCCCTTAATATCCTTCCCATAACTTTTCACCTTTGAAAGCCAATGCAGCCACAGCCGATCCAGACGCCGCCATCTTAGAATAATTTTAATTGTACTCAGTTTCCTTCTAGTTTGTTTTATTTTAGATCTTTGACATTTGGGGCTCGGAAAAGACAGAGATGCCTTTCTGAGGCACCGGCCCAAAGATGATGTTTATCTTGTAAGCAGCCTTGTCATTAGAGGAAAACTTTTAAACGAGCTGCTAGCGCCTATTAATAATTAATGGCCAAAAAAACGTTAGCGCTTTGAGCCGCTGCTTCAAGTCTGGCCTATTCCATTTAAAGTTTGAACACTTTTTGTATTTGCTATAATTCCACCTTTCAGCCCTTAATGTCAGATGTGAATGCAAACACAACATGCTTCCATGTAGCGTTATCTTTTTCCTGATTGCCTTTAAAAAAAAAAAAAATCTTTGGGAAGCTGAACCCTGAGCTAAAATCCAAAAGGGAAGATGGCTTGCTTATTTCTTTTGCGTTTTGCCTTTCCACCCCTCAATATTCCTTTTTTCCCCCATTAAACTGCTGCTCCACCCCTCCCCCGCCCCCATCCTCATGAAATGTGTGAGAGGGGGATTCTTTTTGCTTCCTCCCCCCAGTAAATGGGGGGATGTGGATGAGATTATGAGCAGAAATGTGTGTGTTAGCCTTTTGAAGGCAAGGTCTACTTCTCATGCCTCCTGCTATTTTTCCAGTTGGGTGCTGCCACCTCATCAAGTTTACACAGGGACCGTCACTTTGAAAAGTACCTTGGTTGGGCCTCCTTAGAAAGCTTCATTCTGATGGTTTCCCATATGTTATGTGCTTCTGGTTACTTTCCTTTGTGACCAGAGGCAAGCTCACCTGACCAATAGCCAGCCAAGACACAGTGAAGGCTTTTTGTTTCATTTATTGCAATAAGTGGGGAGAGAAGCTATCAAAGCTTGGTTCTCTCCGAAGTTCCAAGCCAAAATATTCCCTTCTTTATACAGCCCTGTCCCGGCCGCCACATCCCTCCTCTTTCCCCATTGGCTGAGGTACTATGAGGTTACACTCTTTCCAACCGCCTTCTACATATTTCCTGCCACATACTAAATCATATATCACATGTACATTAAAATTAACAGATAATTTATGCAAAGTGTGTCAGTTAATATTAATCAACTAATTGCACATGCTCAGTTGCCTGAGTTCTGCCACCTCCCCTTTTTATGACTTCTTAGAAAAATAGGTTCTTTCCTGTTTTGCTAGTTATCTTCTCTTACAGATGTTTTTATAGCTTGTCTTCTTCCTTTCCCACTCTAAGACCTAGCTAATTTTTGCCTATGTATTTATCTTACAACCTGCCTTTATGTTATCCTTTCCTGATTCTCCACTCAGTAAATTTCCACTGCAGCAAATTCAATTTTAAATTTCTCTTTCAATGTTAAATTTTTGAAGACCTTTCCTTTACTTCTATCACATATGAGTGTAAAGGCTGAAATCCTCCAGGACAAACTTCTACCTTAAAAGGTACTTTGAATGAGTGTTGTGCCCTTTATTTTTCAAATATGTCCATCCCTATTCTAGATTTTTTTAAATCCCACTTTTATTATTTTTATAAATTACTCGAGGCAGTGAACGTACAGTAACTAATACTCCTTCTTCCTCCTCCTATTTCTCCTTCCCCACACACACAACCACCCTGTGAGGTGAGTTTGGCTGAAAGAGTGATTGGCCCAGAGTCACATAGCTGGATGTCATGCCTAAGGTGACACTAGAACTCACAGTCACCTGGCTTTTAGCCTGGTGCTTTAACCAGTAGACCAAAACTGGCTTTGCATGCAAATGTGTGGCACAAGTTATGGAGGGGAGTGTAGGTATGTGTGCGCGCACACACACACACACACGTACACAAACACATCACTATAATATTATAATGATTGTGAGATGTATCAGAAGGGCGCAGGGAAAAGTCTTTTGGTGAAATAAAAAACATGGGGTTTCTCCAGCGCAACCTTTCCATATATATGTTTAAAAAGATGCATTTTTATTCAAAAACTGATTGTCACCAACCACTCCCACCCACTTTATTTAATAAATTTGTTTTTAAACCAGGATTTCTTCAGGTGGCAAAAAGGAAATTCCATGGAAGACCTTCTGTTTATGAGCCTCCTTGGATTGCAAGAAATGGCATTCCTCTCCTTCCCAAAACTCTTCCAGTCCTTTTATTTTGTAAAAATGAAAACAAAATAAAAATAAAGTCAGATGAGGAGGGCAACGTTCACCAAATCCTGGGCTATAGAAGAAATGTGCGTACCTCGTTAATGCTGCAATTAAACTTTGCATTTGGCATTCCCAGGGGGAATGTATTCCTTCTTGGATGAGGTGCACATTTTGCTGTGGGGGAGATTAGTCAGCAGCCACTGTTAATTATGCAGGAGAACAAAATGCTACTGGTGGAAAATATGTATGTTTCCAGGAACACATGTTGGTTTTAATGCAATCTGACAAGCAGCAGCGGAAAAAAAGAGGAAGAAGCCAAAAGTGGGAATTGTATCAAGACAACCTTAACCAGCGCGTGTAGAAGAAGATTTTGCATTTTGCAACAAGTGATGCTCATTAAGTTATTCCTTGGACTTAAGGTTGTTTAATAGCTAAGAGATTTGAGGCATCAGTTATTGCATTTCCAGCTCATCCTTCCTTACAATTGGTATAATTTACATCCTAGATCTAAAAGGGGGTGGGGGAGGGCTAAAAATGATTTCAGAATGGTGAATATGCCGGGGGTTTTATTTTTAAAACAAACACTGCTTTCCAGGTCTTTCTTGGCTTTATTCAACACTGCTACCTGAGTGATTTCAGGAAATTGATGGACAATCCTATATTAGTTTGTCTAGCACAGGGGTAGGCAACCCAAAACACTTAAAGAGCCACTTGGACCCGTTTCCCACCAAAAACAAAACACTGGGAGCCGCAAAACCCTTTTGATATCTAAAATGAAGATAACACTGCATATATCCTTTTTTTACCTTTATTATAGGTGTGTGTGTTTGTGTGTGGGGGGGTATTTGTGTGTGTGTATATGTGTGTGTGTGTGTATATATGTATATGTATGTATGTATGTATGTGTATACACACACACACACACACACACAGAGGTTAAAAAAAGGATATATGCAGTGTTATCTTCATTTTAGATGTCAAAAGGGTCTCTCTCTCTTTCTCTCTCCCTCCCTCTCTATCTGCCCTTGGTCTACCACTCCTCTCCCCCCACTCTCTTTCTTTCTCTCTCTCTCTCCTCTCTCTCCCTCCCTCTCTTTCTCTCTCTCTCTCTTTCTCCCCCCCCCCTCCTATCTGCTGCTCACCTGGCCAGCTTCAAGCTGTTGTCCAACAAGATCAGGGGTAGGCAACCTCGTCTCTTTTATGACTCATGGACTTCAACTCCCAGAATTCCTGAGTCAGCCTAGCTGGGCTAGCTAGCTCTCTCCTGCCCTTCCTGCTTCCTGCAGAGATGCAGCAAAGGGAGGGCTCCGCCCAGTAAGCTTTTCAGCTCCTCGGAGAACATGTGAGTACACTCTCTTTTACACACACACACACACACACACACACACACACACACACACACACAACACACACACACACACAGAGATTGAAGCAGGGAAGCGCAATTGCCTCTCTCTGTCTCTCTCTCTCTCTCTCTCTCTCTCTCTCTCTGCAAAGGCAGAGGAGGCTGGGAGCCACAGGGGAGGGCTCAAAGAGCCGCATGCGGCTCCGGAGCCGCAGGTTGCCGACCTGTGGTCTAGCACATCCTTAAAGGGAGAGAAAGAAAAATGTTTAGGTGAGACAGAGGTGTGATCTAACCTACATTTAGCTCTTTGTTTGTTAGAATAGATTTAGTTCATGTTTCCAGATGCTGATGTTTTCCAGATTATTGTTAGGCGTGAAGAATTGGGACCACGCATTAAATTCTGGTTAAGATGATTTATTGCTCATCTTATATGCAAGAATCTAGTTAACAAACAGCATTAAATTGGCACTAGATAAGAATCAATTCAAGAAAGATTGGACTTAGACCGTTTGTGGGAATGTAACAACTCTAGGCTGATTACTCTCTTGACTCCACCCCCAGGGTCTGTCTGCTCTTCTCCTACACCATTTGTGATAGCAGCTTTCAGAATTCCCCATCCAGCATGGGGGCTTATGGATTCTGATGGTGCTCTCCCAACACATTACCATGTAGTGGAGGCTGTTTAAAAAAATGAAGACTATTTAGCATGGAATATCAGTTGATGAAAGTTATTTCTTTTCCAATCACTCAAATGGATTTATTCTGAGAGATAGAGAAAAAAATTCCATGATTACTATTTTAAAAATAATGTTCCTGCATTTGTGAAAGCAACTACAAGAGCTTCTCCACCCCTAGTCTAATTACATAATGTTTGAGATATCTTTGGTAGGAGCTTCTGTTTCTTAAAAAGTACTAATTTACCTATCATGTCTACCTATGCAGCCAAACTCTAACTCCTGGAATTTACAACAGTTTTGTCTTTTGTTTTGGTCCAGCAATAAGGCTTGGAACCAACACCAAGCCAACCACTGGTCAGTCTAAGTAGGTTTAACCCCCAAATATGTTACTTAATTTTTTTTTTGGGGGGGGGGAATCAAGTAAGATGTAGCTGTGATCACTCATGACTGGAGGGAAGGGTGAACACTTTTGTCACCTTTCTCTTGGCTGACGATAGTTCCTACCTGGAAGACTTTCATGGAGAAAGTCCCTGCATATTGTTTTTTCCTCTTGGAATTTAATTGACATATGGGAAGTCCAGAGGATAGAGACTACTCAACAGAGGATTGAACATAAAAGTGAAAGTAATCTCCCAACCTGCCTAGCCCCTTATAATTGAGATAAGAACTGTGTGCTCCTATGAGAACTTTAGTACAATACTAAAACATTTACTTGTCCATCAGTTGGACTGTAGATGGTCCAAAAAAAGTCATCACTGATACAACTGTGTGCCCTTAAAACAGTGATAAAACAGTGATATCCCCAAAGTGATAAATGTCAACCCACAAGTGTCAATGGAACTATCCAAGGTCTTCTATTAGTAGTATTGTTATTGTTCATAGTACTACTAGTTGAACTAGTATTTATTACATTATTTTCATATAATAAATGTTTGGGGTTGATGAATCATCTGAAACTTTATGTTCTGCTGAAGATTTTAGAGACCCCTGCCCAAAAAACAAAAAAGGAAACATATTCAGCTATGTACCAAAAACTTTGAAATCTTTTTTTTTACTTTTTCTTCTACAGCTATATAGCAATTAGCAAGAACACTTATATTTATATATCGCTCCATAATGCTGTACATCATTCTCTGAGCGGTTTACAGAGTCGGCATATCACTCCCAACAATCTGGATCCTCATTTTACCAACTTCGGAAGGATTGGAGAGTGAGTCAGCCTTGAGCCAGTCAGGATCAAACTCCTGGCTGATGGCAGAGCTAACCTGCAATATTGCATTCTGGCCAGTACACCACAGTAGAATCTGTGATGAGAAAAACTCCAAAATGTGCTCCAAAATGTGCTCTCTAATCATGTTTTAATCCTTAAAATGGCCATTCCTTATACAGGCAGTCCTTGACTCATGACAGCAATTGGGATGGGATGTCTCATCATTAAGGGATGAGGTTATAAAGCACAACATCATCTGGCTACATCACTTAGTGACTGAAAGGCCACCAATGCCAGTTGTCATTGTAACTCTAGGACCAACTTGGGTCGTTGAGGACCTCATGTGACCACTACATGGGAAGAGAAAGGAGTCCCAGGCAAGCAGACCAGTAGGCGAGGGCTGTGGGCCAGGGGGCAGGTGCTGTGGATTGGCACTAGGGAGCATGGGGCTTCAGGCCCAGCACCCAACTGGAGTACCACCTCAAACAGCACACCACAACAAGTCCCACACAGGCCAGCTGCAAACCCCAGCACAAGCATTAAGCCCCATGCCTCAGCAAGCCCCATATTGCCTCAAGCCTATGTTCCCTAGCGCCCACTTATAGCACCACGTCCCCATCCATAGTTCTCACTCGCTGGCTTGCCTGGCACTCCTCCTTCTTCTCAGGTGAAAAAGATGATAAAGAAGGTCACCTAGAAGGGTCAGTGGGGGGGGTGATGGTAAGAGGGGTGGTCATAAATGTGGGCCAGCCCAAATTTTTGTCATGTGGCTATGGGGGCACTGTGACAGGTGAAACTCTAAGGAGCAGTTGTAAATCCAATTTTTTTTTATCCTGTTTTTTAACATCAGACCAAACATTCCTCCCCATAAAATCTCACCATGAATGAGAGGTGGAAAAATCTTGCCCCTGCTTGATCAGACCAGTTTCGATTTTATTGTTTTACTTGACAGATTGATCTCCTGCATGTGAAAGCAAAAAAAGTTAGAACAGGGACAAAGAATAATAAAGAACGAGACAGAACAAACGAGGAAGGGTAATGCCATGTATGGCTCACTATAAAACATTATTAATTTATGGAGGTAAAAGATTCCGTGCTAAAATGCAGTGGTCCCTCTCAAGTTTACAAGTTTGTTATGGATTGATTTATTCATGAAATGCTTTGTTTCTATGACAACTTGCTTTGCCTGTGGTCTAAATACATATGGGCATGGCAGGAATTCTTGAGTACAAAACAAATTACACACCACCATCACTACCTGAATAGTTTTGTGCCTTTAGGGATTCTGCAGAAACAGTCTGAAGGATTGAAATCACCATATGTGTGCCATGCTTAGGAAGATTGCCTGATAAAGAATCTCTCTCTCTCTCTCTCTCTCTGTATATGTTTGTGTATATGAAACCTTACAGTGTAAAAAGAAAAGATGGAAATGAGAGAAGAGAAGGAGACTTATGCAAAGATAAAAGATCTGCCAGCTGTAGTTGCAGACATCCTAACGTACTGGAGAAAAAGCCACAGATCAAAGGACAGTCTTTTCTGCCATAAATAATAGCCCTTACAGGAGGTCATTAATATTCATAATGGTAGTATAACTAAAAAGAAATGGGAGAAACAGAGTTTAGTGAGAAGCTGGTGAGGTGGGGGGAGGAGGAGGAGAAGGAGAGAAGGCAGAATAAAAGCAGGAGCTTTAAGTGGTGAAAGGATACCGAGACTCACAGGGAAGGGTTGGTGAGAGGCAAAGAAAACCCGCAACAAAAGATTAGAGAGCAAAAGTCAATAAAAGTACCCAATGAGAACAAACCAAGTTCTGTAAGAACGGAGGATGGCAGGCAATGCATGAGAAGGAGGCTATAAAGCAGGGAAGGACAAATGTATGGAAAAGAAAAGTAAAGCCTGAAGGAAAGGAAGAAGGGGTAGAAATTGTTTTAGGGACATATCAGAGAGCTGTTTTCAAATTCAACTCACATCTGTTTTGCCCCCCAATTGTTTATGGCAGGAGTGCAAACTGATGCTTTTCAGAGGTTTTACAGTACAATTCTTATATTTTCTGGCCAGTGCTGACAGGCATAAATGAGAGTTAAAAATTAAAAAAAAAAACCTGAACATAATAAATTTGGGTTGCTCCATTCTTCCATTCCTTTATTTCAGAATACACACACACACACACACACACACACACACTTACATATATATATATATATATATATACACACACACACACACACAAACTCACACATATATATATACATATATACACATACATACATATACATATATATATATACATACATACATATACATACACACATACATACATACATATACATATACACATACACAAATGTATAACTATAGATCAGGGGTGTCAAACTCAATTTCAGTGAGGGCCGCATCAGCATTGCAGTTGCCCTCAGGGGGCCAGGTAAGTGTGGCCAAGGTGGGTGCAGCCTACTGGGTGGGCGTGGATGGAGTGGGTGTGGCCTACTGGGTGAGCGTGGCCAGCGCTACATCGTTCGCGTCAAGGGTGCCTGTGGGGGCCTGGGCAGGAGTGGGACAGATCTGAGGGTCTCTGGCAGAAGGGGGTGGGACCGGGGCAAGTGCCAAGGCATGGTCCACTGGAGGAGCCTCACTGCTCCTCTCAGGTCATGCGGAGGGGAGGGCTTATGGAGTTAAGACTGAATGGCCACCACAAAATTGTACATTGGCTCCTGGCCAGCCTGGCAGTGGGGGCCGTTCCCTCACTGTTTCCAGGATGGCTTCGCGGGCCACATGAAACCACTTTGCGGGCCGCATCCAGCCCCCAGGCCTTGTGTTTGATATGTCTGCTATAGATGATATAGATACTGGTTTAATTTATACATAGGCACAAAGGGAATGTCACACTCTCCTACACTATACAGGTAGTTCTTGACTTATGACCATTCATTTAGTCAAAGTCACAATGCTGCTGGAAAACAATTATTTATGATTGGTCCTCGTACTTATGACCATTGCTGTGTCCCCATGTGATCAAAATTCCGCTACTTGGCAATTGGCATTTATTGTGACAGTTGCAGCAGGGTCACACGATCACCATTTGCAACCTTGCCAGCCAACAAACAAAAATCAGTAGGGAAAACCAGATTCATTTAACAAATTGCTTACTTAGCAATGGAAGTTGCTAGTCCTGGTTGTGGTTGCAAGTTGAGGATTACCTATACTCGGCAGAGTAGGAATAGGCAACCTGTTACCCTATAAAAATGATAGTTTCCACAATCTTTGACTCTTGGCTAGCTTAACTGGACCTCTAAAGAGCTATCTAGATTACATGGGATATTTAATCTTCTTTATTTGCATCACCATGTAGGGTCTAGGCCAGGGGTAGGCAACTTTGGCTCTTTTATGACTTGTGGACTTCAACTCCCAGAATTCCTGAGCCAGCCATGCTGAGGGAAAAGGGAGAGGTTTCCAAGCTGAGCCAAGCTGGCTCAGGAATTCTGGGAGTTGAAGTCCACAAGTCATAAAAGAACCAAGGTTGCCTACCCCTGGTCTAGTTCTAATCTAGCTTTTTGGAGCTGTCCAGAGTACTACAAAACTGTTATCTGATGACTTGATACATTTCCAACTAGCGTTGTCATTTGTGCTGGCCAATATCTCTACTTTCAAATTACCAGTGCGTAATGTTTCATTTATGAACTAAGTAAACATTATGTAAATATCACGGTATGCCATTCTGTCAATTGTTAAGAAATATTTAATTCTAGAAGCAGAATTCAATTTTCATCAGGGCCGTAGTACATCTTTCCTTTCTCAACTAACATCCCGACAAACAAATGACTCAGTATATGTAACCATAAAACTTGCAAAAATAGGAGATTTTTTTCTTTCAATAATTCACATTGGGAATCCTTACTAAAAAGTGGAGAATTATATTTTATTTCATCACATCCTTAAGTCCTTCTGGAAACTGGGTTCCCCTACCCACAGGGACTTTAAAAAAGAAACTCTGATAAGACACATTCAGTATTATATGCATATACATCTAGATTTTCTTTGTCTTCAAGGGTCTTGGCTTACCTTAGAGACTTCAACTGGCCGAGACTGTTCAGCAGTCACTAGATCTTCATCAGTTAAAATCAGAGTTTAAATTCTCCGCTGGGCCCATGAACTCAAGTTTTTGTTCCAGCCGATCAGAATGTGAATCTAACTTATAGTATAATAACTCCAAGATGATGCAAAAATGGTGGCTCACACAACTGTGCAAACAAAGTTTTCTTCAGTGTGGCTTGAGATAGAAAATATCTAATGAAATAAATATTCTCCAAACAGGTATTTTCTGTTTGCAGTTCTTTCATTCAGATGTTGAACTAGATGAATTTCTTCCTTTTCAGTGCTGGAATTTCACAAATCTACATTCTTTTATTTTTAACAGCGTCAGCCTAAACAATGATGGTGTCACCCTAAACAATGAAGGTGCTATGCTAATCATTCTCTGTTAGAGATCTGATCTTCCCTCATCAAACCACAACACTCAATCTAGAGATTAAAACAAATTTTCTCCAGAATTCTGATTCAGTGAAACCTGAGTATTTCATTTCCAGTGGATTATGGAAGGCTAGCCACAATGAAATGAAGCTGTCACTCTTCAGAAGGAGTATGGTTAAACCGAATTGCATTTACTCTCTAAATTTTGGAAGGTGGCTGAAAGACCTTTCCTATTTTTGAATTTTTAAACATTCTAGCACACATCAGTGTCAAGCTTTTCTTGATGAACAGAGATTTGGTAGTTTCTATAATCAACCTGTCTTGTGACTACACCAGTTGAAGTTTTATGGGATGAGGTGCTAGAGATGCTTGGTATAAAATGTTCCTATAGTAATCCTTAAAAAAAACCAAAAACCACTATTGCTCATCTTCCGGTGGCAGATGCCAGTTAGAACCCTTGTAGTGGAAGATTATCTAGGGCAGTGGTGGCGAACTTGTGGCACAGGTGCCAGAGGTGGCACTCAAAGCCCTCTCTATGGGCACATGTGCTGTTGCCCCAGCCTTGCCTCTGCCCGCAACCCCCTCCTCACCAGCAGCCTCCCTGGAGGAGAGTCATCCCTGAGCGTGGCCCACGTGGAGCAGCACAGCCAAGGACATGGCAGCCTGCAGTGTAGACAAGATTCTGCCCTCACGCCCCAATGCGCACAGTTAATGCTGTGGGGTGTGGGCAATGGGTGTGGCCACCATAGCGCTACTGGGCTGCCTGGGTGATCTGCGGCGGGCCCTGTAGGCGGTGAGTGGCCCTGCAGGCAGGGTGGGGCGGATTGGGGGTGAGGCAGGGGGTGGAGTGGAGGCTGGGCAGGGGGTGGAGCAGGGGCAGGGCCAGTTTTTGGGCACTCGGTCTCTAAAAGGTTCGCCATCACTGATCTAGGGCTTGGTGAATGCTGTTCATGCCTAACAGTATTTCCCATGTATAAGGCCTTAAAAATCTGCCTACAGAGAAGTATAAAAATCTATGGTCTAGCGGTTAAGGCATGAATGCAAAGACTAAGGTACCAGGCATGAATGCAAAGGCTATGAGTTCAAGTCCCACCTCAGACATGAAAGCTATCTGGATGACTTTGAGCCTAGCATTCTCTCTCAATCCCACCCACCTCACAGGTTTGCTATTGTGGGGAAAATAGGAAGAGGAAAGTTGTTGGGTATGTTTGTCGCCTTGAGTTACTTGTAAAAATAACAAAGGAAGGACACAGATAGATAGATAGATAGATAGATAGATAGATAGATAGATAGATAGATAGATAGATAGATAGATAAAAAATAAAGTATTTTTCCTGGCTGCCTCTTTGCAAGAGAAAAAAAGTACAAGAAAGGAACCAAAATAATACAACTGGGATAAGATTCCTAGAACATAACCCCATTTGCCACCAGACTAATTTGACTATAAGAAGGGATAAGATGAGGCTCATTCCTGTTTCAGCCTATTAGTACTCACTCAGTATTACATCTGACTCACATTCTGACCTGATTTCTTGCCAATTCCCCGTGGCATCAAACTCTGAGCTTCAGAACTCTGCGGCACGTTCTTAAGATCTTAGTTCTTTTGAAAAGATAGTGAGAATATTCAATGCTTGCCTATGCTATTTACATTATATTATAGCACGGATGTTAGCAGGTCAAAAATCCAAGTAAATTATTTACAGAAAAAGAAAAACCCACATTCTGCAGAGAAAACTGTCAACTCAGTAACACCGAGGATTTGGTTCCCATTTATATTCTAGTCCCATTTATACCATTCTGACAGTCTGGAGAAGATTTGCCAGGAATGCAAGTTAACAACATTCAGTTCTAGGTCTCTTCTCTAGAATAATGAGAAGGACCAAGTTCTTAGATTCTGAAATCCCCCCAAAATAAAAACAAGATGATAACCTTCCCACATGGCATTATAGGACATATTATAATATCTCTTTGCATTTGTTCTTGCAAGTTTAGTTTATGGGTGTAGAGTAGTTGTGGGATTCAGCCAGTTCGTACCGGTTCTACAGAACCGGTAGCTAAATTTTGTTGAGTTTGGAGAATTGGCTGAGTGCACACTGCTTTCAGAAGTCCGTTCTAGGCCTCAGAGGCCTGGAGGAGGCCTCCCAGGCCTAGAACAACCCCCGGAAGTGCGTGGATGCCATTTCCTGGAAGTGTGTGGATGCCATTTCCAGAAGTTCATTCTAGGCCTGGGAGGCCTGGAGGAGGTGTCACAGATCTAGAATGGCCCACCGGAAATGTGTGGATGCCACTTTCAGAAGTCTGTTCTAGGCCTTGGAGGCCCAGGCCTGCATCCATGCTGAGAACCGGTTGTTCAGGTATTTGAATCCCACCACTGATGTAGAGGTATCGTTCATAGCTATCTATGACTTAGATAAGCAAAAAATTCTAGATTCTTTTATTTATTTAAATTACTGTTAGGGTTAAACCTGACTTGCCAGAAGAGACAGCTGTTTTGAAATGCAATCATACCTTCTTCACTTCTAGCTGTGTTACACTTGCTCTCAGGTTTGGCTCATGATCACTCACTCACACTCTTACAATCCTGGAAAGCATTCACACTCAGAATACACATCAACCCAACGCAGGCAGTCCTCAACTTACAATAATTCATTTAGTGACCGTTCAAAGCCACAACAGCACTGAAAAAAGTGACTTATGACCATTTTTCACACTTAGCAACCTTTGTAGATCATGGGGATCATGATCACGTGATCAAAACTCAGATGCCTGGCAACTGGCTCATTCTTATGACTGTTGCTGTGTCCCAAGGTCACGTGATCAACTTTTGCAACTTTGTGACAAGCAAAAGTCGATGGGGGAAGCCAGATTCACTGAACAACCGGGCTAACTTATCAACTGCAAATAAATATATTTGCTCTTTCTAACACACGCATATATGTGGACATGCATACATATATATACACACACACACTCACCCACACTTACCCACATCCTTCTCAACTAGCTCCGCCAAGTACAGTACTAGACAGAGGGATGGAAGCCACCAAATCTACCGTAGATCAAAGAGGACTCTCCAACTCTGGGCAGCTTCAGGACCTCTTTTATTTCCTAGAGTCCTTGCTTTGTTACTCCACAAGACAAGCAGCTACTCTTGCTTCACTGATTTTCAAGTCTGATAGCTGTTGATGGCATTTGGGGAGGAATTTCCCAAGTGTCAAGGCCCAGCTTCTTTTATCTGTTTCAGATGACATTTTCCCTTCATTTCCTTATTGACTTGGTTCCTTCTTATCTATCTCCTGAAGGAATCTTTTAGACAACATTTCTGGCTTTTTGTCCACCCTGCTTACACATCTGTTCATCTTTAGGTATGGCAGCTTCAACCTATTCCATAATAATGTATAAAATGGGCTACCTTGGTGCCTTCCAAATATTTGAGAATACGTATAGGTAGTTCTTGACTTACAACTATTCAGCAACCATTTGAAGTTGTGATGGCACTGAATGATGGTTACCACTGATCTTTGGCTTCTTGCACATCCTCATTTTATGATCACCTTCAGTTAACGATGGAAATTCTGATCCCAATTTCCATTGTAAGTTGAGAACTACCTGTACCCTTCACTATTGGTCATACTCACTGGGACTGAATCTGAATCTAATCTAATTAGTCTACAAGTTGCCTACTTGTAGATTAATACTAATAACTACACAGGGTGGGTATATTGAAAGAAAAGGAACATCCATCTCATAAATTATGGTACATAGTGTCAAAGCCCAATCAGGCTACATTGGTGTTTGAGAATAAAAATCTTACAAGTACCTTTTTTTTGTCTTGGGCATCATCATCATCACCATCACCACCACCATCACCACCACCACCACCACCTGTGGTTTTGTGAAAAAGATAATGTGTCTGCAAGATTGTGTAGATACTAGAACCCCTTGTAAGGTTCATATACTAACCTGGAGAAACGTATAGTTCTAAACTCTAAATCTTTTCAAACTGGTGGCTCCAGATGTGTTACTGTAGATTTCAACATTCAATAGGGATTCTTCTCCCATTATGGAATTATGTGACTTGAAGCCAAACGCAGCTAGAAGCACCATGTTAAGGTAGAATGCTGTAAACAATGATCCTTAAAATAATTTCATATTTTAAACATTGAAGCAAACTCTCAGTAAAATATATTTCCATGTGAATGTAGTTATGATTATGACTCCACGGAGACCCCGGTATCAGATTATTATGCATGTAAGCTTATGCAAATCAGCTGAGAAGTGCTCCTGTGTTTAACAGCAGCCTTAGCACTGCGATTTTATATATACCTACTCAGAGTAAATCCTCTTGACTCAATGGGGCTACACTGAATGTAATGAGCATAACATATCCTTGGTTTTCATCTTAAAACATCAGCATGAAAGTTGAACTTTCATTTCATCAAACGTGTTTGGCTTCTGTACCTGTGTTGTGTGGGTGGGCATCCATAGGCACAAAACATCCACCTAAATCACAAACAGGTCCCCCTCTTTCATTAAGCGAGTGACATTTCTCATGATGGTGCAGCACCTATCTGTCTTCTTTCTAGCAGAGTTGTCTGCCTTTCAGTCGGCAATCTGACTACAGATCAATGAAAGGAAGCTTTTTGAAGGTACTTTCAGGTCCTGTGGCTGGGGAGATGATCAGAAAGCTGCCATAAGCTTTGACAAACGAGGGGCTATTTTGGGGGC